ACGCGCGGTGACGCGCTGCCAAGATGGTGACGGCCGCCTCCGCCCACTTTTGAGCTTCAAAAACGCTCCTCGGAAATCTACGGGTGACGTCACGGACACTACGTCCATGTTTTTATACAGTCTATGGTCTTCACACCCAAATTGGAAACCTTTGGCCCATATTACTTTTGTCCCCCAATGAACTTCTCCTAGCATCTGCTACAGTGCCTGTGGTTACAGTGTATTCCTGCTGAAAAGACTAGCATATGTTATGTTTTGGATATTGGTTTTCCCACCAGGCTTTTTAACTGGCTTAAGATTTTCTTGGACAATCAGTATCATCATAAAGATTAGGTCTGTGGAATGAAGACTGTATGTATATATCTGTGTGTGTTGCACTTACTAAATTATCTGTTTCTGTATTTATATTCAGATGTGGGCGGGGCTTGAACCTTGCTAGATTATCAAGATATATGATAGATCCCAATAAAGATGGCCAGCATTGTTCTGGTAAACAACATGACTATGTTAGTCCACTAGTTAGACCACCACCAAACCAACATAAACCAGCCTGGACCAGCATCGCAATCCATGCTGCATGGTCTGAGCTGGTGTTTACAGCAGGAATATCACAGAATATATTAACACTAGGTTGCTAGAATAAAAATGCCATAAGCGCTGTACAAATACATAAATTCATGGTTTAAAATGCCATGTAGTGAATAGTAGGACTAATAAATATCACGAAAGATATTATATATCATAAAACATTTTTAAAAAGAAAAAGACCTTGTCCATGACTTTTAACATTTTTGAGAACATAAATAGATGGCAGATGAATAATATATGTCTTATCCTGTTGTAACATAAGAGCTAGTCTAGACAGAGTTCCAGCCATGCTGTGTGTGTGTGTGTGTGTGTGTGTGTGTTAGTGAGAAGAAACAACCGAGCATTCCTGGAAGCCCACAAATATAATGGCAGAAGGGCTCGCTGATCAATAAATATTACCTCAATAAAACAGAAAATGATAAAGAGAGAAAACAAGGGACGTGGAGAGATAACAGTGGGAGGAAGAGGTTTGGAGTGAAGAAGTAAATCCCACTGTTTCTGATTTCTATACCAGCTGAGCAGCAGTTTCTTTTGAAGTCAGTGTGCTGCTAAAAATAGACACTTTATGTAACCGTACCCATTTTAGGCACAATGATGACAGCACATGTGGATCTGGTGTACCTCTCTGTCTGTCTCTCTTTCTTTCATTTTCCCTGCTTCCCTCTTTCTTTATCTCACTTTGCATAATTTAAGCAATGGTAGAAGGATCTGGGTGTAACATGCTTTTTGAATTATAGTCACAACATCATGACTTGTACTCATCAAGTTGTAGGAAAGAGTCAGAGTGCAGAAGTAGGACTGATCTGTCTTTGTCCTGTTCAGCTGCTCTCTCACAGGTCCTCTCCCAATGCATGCACACCTGTTAATTAAACCAAGAGCTGAAAATTACAGCTGATTAATGAATGCAGAAACGATCTGATTGTTCAGTGTGTACTTACACAGCAGAATAAAATTTGCGTTTCAATGTGCACTAAAAACACTGTGTACTCTGAACTAATGGCAAGAACAGTTTCAGGTGAAGGTGAAGTGACATCCCAAACTCAGAATTTGTGCTCTGCATTTAACCCATCCAAGTGCACACACACACCATGAACACACATCCGGAGCAGTGGGCAGCCAATGCTGTGGCACCCGGGGAGCAGTTGGGGGTTCGGTGCCTTGCTCAAGGGTCTCACCTCAGTCGTGGTATTGTGGGTGGAAGAGAGCGCCCCCCACCTACAATCCCTGCTGGGGATTCGGGACTCGAACCCACGACCTTCGGGTTACAAGTCCAACTCTCTATCCATTAGGCCATGACTGCCCATGAACAGTTTCAGGCTACATGCAAAAATGACCAGTGTAGTATAATTAACAAATAAATGACTCTTATCAACCAGTTTTTATAGTGGATCAAAAGAATAAAGCAAGACCAGTGTAGCTTGATTCCAAAAATTAAACTTATGAGTAGTTCAGAAAAATAAGTTATCAATTTGAAACAGTCTAAAACACTGTTCTTATCATTTACAGCATCACCAGTGAGAGAGTTTGTTTCATATGTAAGCAGAGTGTAAATGCTGTGGCATAAATATTCTTTGTAACGAATTTTCAATATGTGTGTGTGTGTGTGTGTGTGTGTGTTAGTGAGAAGAAACAACCGAGCATTCCTGGAAGCCCACAAATATAATGGCAGAAGGGCTCGCTGATCAATAAATATTACCTCAATAAAACAGAAAATGATAAAGAGAGAAAACAAGGGACGTGGAGAGATAACAGTGGGAGGAAGAGGTTTGGAGTGAAGAAGTAAATCCCACTGTTTCTGATTTCTATACCAGCTGAGCAGCAGTTTCTTTTGAAGTCAGTGTGCTGCTAAAAATAGACACTTTATGTAACCGTACCCATTTTAGGCACAATGATGACAGCACATGTGGATCTGGTGTACCTCTCTGTCTGTCTCTCTTTCTTTCATTTTCCCTGCTTCCCTCTTTCTTTATCTCACTTTGCATAATTTAAGCAATGGTAGAAGGATCTGGGTGTAACATGCTTTTTGAATTATAGTCACAACATCATGACTTGTACTCATCAAGTTGTAGGAAAGAGTCAGAGTGCAGAAGTAGGACTGATCTGTCTTTGTCCTGTTCAGCTGCTCTCTCACAGGTCCTCTCCCAATGCATGCACACCTGTTAATTAAACCAAGAGCTGAAAATTACAGCTGATTAATGAATGCAGAAACGATCTGATTGTTCAGTGTGTACTTACACAGCAGAATAAAATTTGCGTTTCAATGTGCACTAAAAACACTGTGTACTCTGAACTAATGGCAAGAACAGTTTCAGGTGAAGGTGAAGTGACATCCCAAACTCAGAATTTGTGCTCTGCATTTAACCCATCCAAGTGCACACACACACACACACCATGAACACACATCCGGAGCAGTGGGCAGCCAATGCTGTGGCACCCGGGGAGCAGTTGGGGGTTCGGTGCCTTGCTCAAGGGTCTCACCTCAGTCGTGGTATTGTGGGTGGAAGAGAGCGCCCCCCACCTACAATCCCTGCTGGGGATTCGGGACTCGAACCCACGACCTTCGGGTTACAAGTCCAACTCTCTATCCATTAGGCCATGACTGCCCATGAACAGTTTCAGGCTACATGCAAAAATGACCAGTGTAGTATAATTAACAAATAAATGACTCTTATCAACCAGTTTTTATAGTGGATCAAAAGAATAAAGCAAGACCAGTGTAGCTTGATTCCAAAAATTAAACTTATGAGTAGTTCAGAAAAATAAGTTATCAATTTGAAACAGTCTAAAACACTGTTCTTATCATTTACAGCATCACCAGTGAGAGAGTTTGTTTCATATGTAAGCAGAGTGTAAATGCTGTGGCATAAATATTCTTTGTAACGAATTTTCAATAACTCATAATTTAATGCAATAAGTCTGTTTGATTTAAGTTTAAAATTGAAATGTGATGTAATTTAATGGGCAGCAAATGTATTTTGAAGCTAAAATAGTAGGCACGAGAATGCGTCATTGTATTGAAAATGACGTAGACAGACTGGTGATGAACAGATGCGTCACGATGCTCTGCTGTGTTGCGTTAGAAAATAGAAGCACTTTCTCTCTCTGTGGAGTGTCTCATGAGGAATATCTTCTCTTCATTGCGGTTAAGTGGATGTCGGGTGTTATGTTGACAGACACAATTGGGTTATGATAAGGATGTCTAAAGGGTCAGTCACAACAGCCATTCAGCAGAATAATCTGTTCCTCTGAATGCCAAAATGAATGCCCCCCC